GACTGACTGACTGGGACTGCTGACTGGGCTAGGTGGACTACCACCACTTGACCACTTGCCTCTGCTGAACACAGGCCAACTCCGAAAGGCCACTTCTAGAACTCTCGAACTTGGCCTTTCGGTGCTGTAGCAGCTATGACTTTGCCCTTTCATGTAAGTAGCAGCTACGACCTTGACTCTTCAGGCATCCTACAGCTACGACTTCGGAACTGTCTAGACTCCTACTCTACAGGTCTACAGTTCGATTCCCTTCTATCSTGTGACCTACGAAACCCTGCCTACCACTGGCGGTCCTACAGGTCGCGGGTTCAAGTCTACGGGTTGACATCCATACTGTACACAGGTAAGATGGGGAACTAGGGATCGAGCCCTAGGATCTGCATTCGCTACTGCGAACTGGTGAATACTGTTTCACATAATTGAATATGTAAAAAATTATATATTTATTAGTTGGATCATCTTTTTTTTCAATTCTTCAGCTTTTCATCTCCATCATCAAGGAAAGAAAATCAAAACCATAAAAAAAAGAAGAACAAAACAATAAAGAAAAGAAAACACATAACTGCAATGAACCCAGACTGGAAGATACTCAGCAGACGTTGAAGTAAAAGTAGTCTCAGATCTGCACAATGTCTCCAGTTATCGTGAAAGTTATATCTGTTACAATATCTCGTTACCAATAGACGAAGAGAGTGAGGGAGAATAGACAGAGGAGAGGGTGGACGAGATAAACAGTGACCGCACAAGAGGAGCCCAATCAATACCCACTCCTCTGGGCTTCCCCTCGCCTCCATGTCATCAATCAAAATACAGTAAGAAGTCTGATAAGTCTTGATCACATGGAAGTGCCACGTGGCACTATCATCTCGTGGAGACAATGAAGATAACACCATTACATGGTATCGACGTCAACCTCAGGTGAGTACCAATTCCCAATCATCCACAGATCCCGATCTCCCTCCTTGTCGCAACCAGTCACCTCATGAAGACAGCGTGGCCAGTGCCATGTCAGCAGTAGAGACAGGTGGCATGTGCCACATCAGCAATGTAGACAGATGGCCTGCGCCACATCAGCAACAGGTGACCTTTGCCACATCAACAATGTAGACAGATGGCCTGCACCACATCAGCAATGTAGACAGGTGGCCTGTGCCACGTCAGCAGAGGCTGGCGCTCTGCAGAGAAGGCGCCGCACTTCGTCGTCCACAGTGCCAGCGCACAGCCAGCGTCAAGCCAGCGTCCAGCGAGAGTTGAGCCAGCGTCAAGCCAGCGTCGAGGCAGCATAGCAAGATTGAATGTTGACCTCCTGGAGACCAAGCCTTATGTAGTGTTTGACGAGGCAGTCTGGCCTTGGGTCTCCTTCCCACAGTCGTACAGATTGATTCACAGCCGAGGGCCTGGATTGCATACAGTTGCAGACTTTCCTTTGGTCCTGATGCTGTCTGGGTACCTGCATACAAACAAGTGTGTGCGTCTGACCGGCAGCCTGGGCTGGGTACACTTTGACTTTGACTGTTGGGCGTCAGGTAGTTGACTTTGGTCAACTGTTGCTTGCTCAAGCCCTGAACCTTTGGCTGGGGTCTTTTTCCCCTCTTTGGCTTGGGTCTGGGTGTGGCCTGGCGAGGCCCTGAGGCATTCCACGAGGCATGCTGCATGGGTTTTTGCATAACAAAAGAAAAACAACACTAAACCATACCCTTCTTGACGACGGCGAGGACTGACAACAACAATCAGAAAATTGTGTGATAGGTGAATGACACATCAAAAGAAATAATAATAGAACAAGTGAACCCGCCCCAGTGACGCTGCAGCAGTGGAAGAGGGGGGACGGAAGAAGAGCGGGGAGAAGGAAAGCGAATGTAGAGGGCAAGACAGCGTGTGGCCACTGCATCTCTCTCTCTCTCTCTCTTTCTCTCTCTCTCTCTCTCTCTCTCTCTCTCTCTGTGTGTGTGTGTGTGTGTGTCCCTATCTCCAGTACTCCGAATTACAAGAGAGGAGGATCACGTCTCTCCGCTTCCGGTTGTGGCGAAGTTCCTGGGCAGAGCGTTCCGCGTGCGTGTCTTCGTGGCCTCGCATGTGGCGTCACTTGTACGACATCGCCAACAATCGGAAGCATGGCGCGCTGCGTTGGAGAACAAGGTGCAACATATTTTGAAAAGACTCCTAGTCAGGGGTAGCGAGCAGGTCATCGTTGAGAATGTAGATGTGTTCGACTGTTGTGATCACAACATGCGTTGAAACAAATGAAAAAAGGAAGAAAAGTAGATGCATAGAGAAGTCATCAATCAATCAATCAATTAGTCAATCATCGAGTGAGTGATAGGCTGCTTTGATTTTCGTCACAGGTACCTTGAGGGCAGTGGTTGGTGTCAATCTCAGGGTATCAGTTGTCGGGCAGTCGTTGATGCTTATCCACGATCGGGGTTAAGGTGGATTATCACTTGCAATGTAATCAGTGAGGGGATTCCGTAGACTGTCGAAGGTTCAACTTCTTGATGCCGGACGAAAATATTGACGATATTGATATATACAAATATATTATATATATAAAATGTATATATATACCCGTGCCTCTGGTTCTTGGGAATTATGGAATGGCGGTGCTATGGTGCAAACAATTACTGCCATCTCTGATCTTGTGCGTCATTACCCTAACCTGCAACTGTTCCAGGTCATTGACCCGATGGGTACCTCCTATACTTCCCTGCCCGCCTCTACGCCTATCTCTGTGCCTGCCTTCGTGCCTGTCTTTGTGCCTGCCTCTGTACCTGTCTCTGTGCCTGTTTCTGTGCCGGTTTCTGTGCCTGTTTCGGTGCCTCTCCTTCCAGATTACTGACTCTATTAGTACCATATGTACTTCCGTCCCCGCCTCTGGAGCTACCTCTGTGCCTGCCTCCACACCTGTCTCCATGCCCGTTTCTGTGTCTGTCTCCGTGCCTACCTCCACGTCTGTCACTGTGCCTGCTTTAGTCTTTATTCCCCCACATACTGCACTA